AGAAGACCTCTAGGATCAGTCCAACCATTAACCAACACTGCCAACTTCATCATGAAACCATGTCACCAACTGCCACGTTTCTGAAAACTTCAAGGGATGTTGACTTAAACCATTTCCCTGGACAGCCTATTCCAATGACTCATCACCCTTTKGGTGAAGAAGTTTTTCCTAGTATGCAATCTAAACCTCCCCTGGTGCAATTTGAGGCCATTTTCTCTTATCTTTTCACTTTTTACTGGAAGAAGAGACCAACACTCACCAGAACCTCCTCTCAYGTACTTGGAGGTACCTGGAAATACACCATAAAAGGAGGATCACAGAATCACAGAAAGGCTTGTGTTGAAACAGATCTTACAGGTCATCTAGTTCACTCCTCTGCCATGGGCAGGGATGCCACCCATTAGATCAGGTTGCTCAGGACCCCATGCAACCTGACCTTGAACACTTCACAGCTTCTCTGGGCAACCTGTTCCAGTACTCCACCACCCTCTGAGCAAAGAACTTCTTAACATCTAAAGGAAGTTATCTAAAATGCTCAGTTTAAAACCTAAATCTATCTAAATACTTCAGTTTAAAACCATCCCCCCTTGTCCTACCATTACCTGCCCATGTAAAAGTAAACCATGTAAACAACTCTTTCTTGTTGCCATAATGAGTCTAACTGCTAGRTCAGGATTGGTTAATTTGTGGAGCCTGATCTGCAACAGATAGGTGACTTTCATAATATACATTAAAGCAGTCCAGTCACCTCAAACCTCCACTTCAGGGGCAGATTTAATTTCTCATGCCATAAGCAGCACTCTGGCTGCAATGTAGTTATACTAAATGGCTTCAGAAGCATATCCAGAGGCAATATCACTTGCTAATCACCAAGAAGTAGGCTAACACAGTGCTTCCTTCAACACTGTTCCCACRGACTTTGCTGAACATTGCCAGAAGGACAGAGCCGAAGGCCTGACACACTTTAGGGATTCTGATTAACCATGACTGCCAGTTGTTCTTGTACCAGAGTTTGACAGATACCTTGAAGAAGTGTCCCCAGAAGGCTGRGCAACAAATCAGTCCTGATAGCAGGAAAGGGATCATTCCACTGTATTCCATCTCTTCTGATAGCCTCCTAAGGAAGCAAGTTTCCCTCCAAGGGAAGACTACTGCCCTYTTATTTTAAAATGATAAACAAATATCTCAGAACTATCTCTTCTGATAATCTCAAGAATTTGTCCTGTTGCCCCAAGAAGGCTTTACTACTTAAAAGAAAAATCTCTTATGACAGTTCCCTGAAAAAGGGATGGGGATGAAGGAAGTAGATAGGTGGRCATCAAGTAGACAGTGACATATGTAATGGTGCTGATTATCTACTGTGTTTTGATTTCAGGGGCCTGAGGCAGGGCTCCACAGGGTCTGCAATAGATTCTTAACTCTCAGGATTGGTCRTAAGCATCATCACACTGACTGCTTTTAACCTGAAGGCAGATGAGACAACAGACACTTTTGGAGACAACCTCATTTTTTTTACTTTGACAGCTTATAARAACTGAAAAATCCACAAAACTGCAGAATTATGGGCAGAACATTCCTTTGTTTACTTTAGGGTTTTAAGGCTATTCTTATGTTATCCGAGAGTCATCAAGATCTAAACGATGTTTTCTGTATTAGCCTTCAGCAGATTTAGCCTCTTGATGGGCAAGAACCTTAGAAGTCTGCACTACTTACTTGTGCACCTATTGACTAGCAAACTGTCACAAACCCACTGCAGCACTTAGTGAATGCRAAATTATGCTCTCAGTGACAGTATGTCTTAAAAGTGACTGAAGGCCAAGTGTCACAATTGGAGACTGAACAATTATCACACTTAAGATCCTTGAAACTCAAGGCAATATAGATGTCTCACTGTTTAATGAGCATGAAGAAATGTTTTGGGAGATTCTCCTGTTAAGAGAGATAAGTAATAAAGTCCATTGCATAACATTATTCTAAGTTAAGTTTTTCATGGTGTCAGGTATGTTTGAGATAATCAATCTTAAGAAGCATGACTTTGAACAGTTTATCTCATTCTAAGGTAAATATCTAAAATAGATCAAATGTATTGATATTGTTGCTTGCACAAAACAAAAGGAGTAAAATCTATTGCTTATTTATTCTCTGAATCTTTCCCCAGGGAATGAAGAATAAGCAAAAGAGTACTGCAGTGGATAAGTTTTGGGTGCATTAGTTCTTTAAAGTATCAAACTTAAATTACATTAAAAAAGGGTATAATTTCTTTTTCCTTCTTCCTGCTTCTARCTAATGACTAGGGCACATCTGCACAAAGCTCAGAAATACAAAAACTTAAGAAACCGTAAGAATAGCCATACCAAGCAATTTAACATCTCCAGTAATAGAGATGTTGAAGGCTTTAAGAGGATAAACAAAGAGCAGTAGCTCCTCAGAATGCTCTCCCAACACTGCACAATCTGCACCTCAACATCCTGGTATGAGGCAGATGTCTTCGCAAACAATAGTGATTAAGAGTATTTTTATCATAGAATATGCTGAGGTACAAGGGCGCCATCAGGAGCTTCAAGTCCAATTCCTSGCACARAACACCCCRGGAATCCCACCCTGAGCCTGAGGGTGTTGTCCAAACACTTMTTGAACTCAGACAGGTTTGGTGCTCCTCCTCCACTTTGTTGTCTTTAACTCTAGGTACRATGTTAACATCCACAACGCCACACTTAAAGAAGCACAAAAATAAAAGACTCTACAAATTTATATKGTTCTTGATGCATTACCTGAGAAACACATGTTAACCCATTCACAACATAAGGAAAATATTCATTCTAGCTCCAGAAAGGAGCTAATGCAYACAGCACTGCACTACTCAGCACACACATGAAAACACCAGCTAGCAGAAGCTGGGGAGCTGGATCTCAGTTTCTTCATCTAGCTATGCATGTACAAAATACTTGGCTTCCTTTTATTACTTTAAAACTCTTCAGATTTGACAGCTTCATATTTCATGCTAGTTCATTTTAAATTTGCAACGATGGTATTTTATATAGGCTGAAGTAAAAGAATGGTAATGTTCAGAAAAAGTACGTCTTGATATTAAATATGATCTGACTATTGAGCTTCATATAAACTAACAGGAGCTTTGGGATTTGGCCTGACAATGAATTTGCAAGGCGCTTAGCAAAAAAACCCAAACAATATTAACCATGGAAACCATAATAATAATAACTTGGACTGGAAAAGCAACACAGCCTGGTAAGTTTAAAGTAAGATAACATCAGAGCAGGAGCTACAGAAAGTGCCAAGGGAAAACACAGCTTCATTCTAGGTCAATCTCAATCTACAATGCCTTACAATCACTCTTTCCATTAATTCACATCTAGGAGCACAGTAAAGTAAAACACTGTCTATCTGGATCAAATCAAAGGTTTCTCCAGTCAATTATAGGACTACAATCGTGGCAACAGCAGATGTCTACAGAAAAATGTAACAGCAGGGCAGCCATAAAGACTTCTCCAGCAGCTTTCCCAGACTACAGCCTCTTGGAGTTCAAGAAYTTTCAGACAAGCAAACTGATACACTCCATGGATTTTTACTCCATTAATTTTCCAACACTTTTTCAGACTTTTCAAGTTSTGTGACAGTATTCAAACTGTAATATTGTAACAGGGAAAAAGAGCCCTTTCTATCCTTTTTGAACTTGCTGTCAGATAGGTTCGATGCTCTAATTCACACACCGAAGAATAAAATAAATAAATAAATCAGTCCCTATTAATCTTTTCTGCTCCATTCAGGACTGTACAGAGAACAGAATATGTCAACATTTTTTCTTATTTGAGCTAGAAGTTGCCCAGTGTTCATGATCACTCTTGACACCTCTGAATCTTTTCTGGTATTATTAGACTCACACTGAGATGTAAGAACTGTATGCATCATTCGAATTCCTGTATAATACAGATCCATTAAAATTGTGACATTAAAATGCTTCTGCTTTTAGTAATTCTTTCTAGTAATTCCTAAATATTGTTTTTTTTAACTAGTACTAAACAGTGAATCCAGGTTTTCCTTGATCTGTAATTCCAAGATCACTTTCCTGAAYAGCAATAGCTAGTCCAGAGTCTGACATRAAATGCATGATGCTTCCTTTGTTTTCATCCACATCCTTGACTATTGCTTTCTCTGAGTTATTTATACCATTGACAATTCAGTCCCTCATTTTGCAAAGTCCTTTGAGCAGCTTTGCAGTCTGTTCTCCATTTTTCCATATTCAACTTAACATGAGTAGCAAATACCTTGACTTTAACTCAGAACTTTGGCAATGTTATACATCTGCCTCCCATTTTTAACAAATCACAATTTGAGACATAGTAAATAAAAATAAAAAACAGTTTCATAATTCTGTATCCTGTAAAACCACGGATTTTAAACCTGACAACAACAAGCTCTTTCCTCAGTTTTATGAGAGCCATCTCCATATTGAAAACGCTAGATTTTAAACTTACAGACTTCCTCTAATACAGGTAAGTAGTAATGAACCAAGTAAATGCATACAACTTTCTTAATTTGCACACTAACATTCTGAAACAAAGTGAAACTTATCCTTGAAGACACAGGTAGGCTGGCATGCTTTCCCAGCCATGGCTATTCCAAATCTTTGATTAAAGTCAGTGGTGCCTATCTCAAGCTCTACCAAGCAGAATGTTGGGTGCACAAGAGCTCTTCTCAAAGCTTGCAGAGCACAAACTGGGCAAGTGGAACAAACAGCTACCTTTAACTCTGTATATAATCCCCACTTCTTGGAAAAAAACCCACCAAACAAACACATCTGCAGACAATGCTACTGATCTGAAAAGCTTTTTCAGTGTGCTACAAAAATATGGCAGTGCAGGTAAGAAATTCATTTTCTAGCAGAAGTGCTCTACCCTCCCATTTCTGTAAATAATTACAGAGAGGCCACTGACTGAACACTTCCTGTGTGTTAAATCACACATCAACATACATGAACATACCTTTTCACCAGGCAGACCAGCAACACCATCCGGTCCTTTCACACCCATCTCACCCTGAAAAACAAAATAATCAATTAGAAGCTCTAAAGACTTCTGAGGTTCGTAACAACTACTCCAGTCATATCAGATTCATCAGAAATGCATCTTCTACMTGATCTTTAAGTAAAGCATCCACTGTGGAGGAGGATGCCTTACATGTAACACTAAAATCAGCAAAACAAATAAATTTTAAAACACCTATACTGTCAATTAATACCTTMATCTGACAAATAATTGCACATCCACATTTCCATGAAAGCAAATCCACTAATTTTAAAGGAATTCATTGCAGCAGAGTGAAACCAAGAGGGTCCATTTTCAGTTCTACACTGAGAAAGCTCAACACGTAATACAGATCTGTCTAAAGTCATGGAACTGCAATATTTTTGAAAGAAAATAAAAAAAAAAGAAACTTTAAATTCAGCTCCGCACTCCCTCCCTTTTAGCCTCTCAGAGAAACCAAACCAAACCTCAGAGAAACCAAACCAAACCATAAGCAATCTATAAGAGAAAATTTTAGTTTGGAGAGACAAAATGACTGACTTGATCACGTGAGTTATGGAAGATCCCAGCAGCTGTAAATTAGACCATAAGTCTTAAAAATGACATAAGAAACATCAAACTCAGAAATTTTGCCAAATAATATCAAGTATAAGGTTTAAAAAATTGAAAATAAAAAGCTTTTGGTTGCTAGAGGTATACAACAAAAGCACTGAAACAATATAGGCTTCATTTAAAAACAAAACATCAGGTGTGTCTACTTGTACCAATAAAAGAACATCCTCCAGCAAGAAAAGCATTGTAGCTCTATTCTGAAATGAAGTTATTRAAGTTTTAAAAGGGCAGTGACATTGGCAAGAAGTACACAACAACAGTGTTTGTCATATTCCAGAATCATAAAGGTTAAAAAAACCCCTCCAGGATCATCAAGTCCAACCTTTGACTGAACACCACCACCACGTCAATGGGATCACAGCCCCAAGTGCCACATCCAGTCATTGCTTGAACACTTCCAGGTACAGTGACTCCATTACTTCCCTGAGCAGCTGATTGCAGTGATTGATCACCTTTTCAGAGAAGAAATTCTTCCGGACATCCAACTTGAACCTCCTGTGGCACAGCCTGAGGCCATTCCTTCTTGTCCTGCCACTGGCTCTCTTGGAGCAGACTCTGACCCCCACTTGGCTATGCCCTCCCTTCAGGCAGTTGTGGAGAGCAACAAGGTCACCCCTGAGACTCCTTTTCTCCAGCCTAAATAACCCCACCTCCCTCAGGTGCTCCACAAGACTTGTGCTCACTGAGCATGCCCTCGATCCCCTCACCCAGATCATGGATAGATATTAAAGAGCTCCATCTCAGAAATAGCCCAGAATCCTGTCTGTGCAAATAGCATGAATTCACTGGCACTTTGAAAGAYAAAGGTTACCTTATCTAATCACCCACAGAGTGACTCTCTTATCTGTGCATCCTCTGTTCCCTGATGCCACTTGCCAGTATTTTAATAGACCAGAACTACTTTGTTACCTTCAGCAGTGTATTTTTATACACTGTATAGTCTAAAATTACACAGCCTGCTGCACGCCAGGAAGCCTTTAGCCTGCATGACTTACTAGCCAATTAACCAAGGTATGTTTACAYTTCTGTTCCACTAACTGCAGACAGGCTCCCCATCTTGAAGACAATTATTTTCTAGAGCAAATTAGATCTTCAAGTTATGCTTCTAATTGTGATTTTTATTAACCACAGGCTGAAAGGTTGTAGTTTTTCATGCTTTTATGAATATAAATATCAGATACTATAGGTATCTAGCAGTATTCATACAAACAGCATGACAGACTAAAACTAAAAATAGAGCAAATGCATCTTTACCTTTTTTTTTTTAATGGTATTTTCTTTTCCATCTGCAGATCTTAAAGCCCTTCATGAAAGTGAAGGATATGATGCCAGGAAAAACAGTAATTAAGGTGTAGTAGCAGTTAGTAAGGTGGTCAAATTAGCAGTACAATGCTGAGATTTATAGGTTATGAGGTACRCACAGTGTAACAACACCCAAAGGTAGAACTGGGAGCTGTAAAACTACTGCCAGGATTTACTRAGGGTGACAGTGAAAACCCTTTTCAACTGAGTATAAGCTATTCATTGAATAAAATTCTTATGCCGTAGCACATTTTTTCASAGTGGGATCTGTTGCAAGCAATAGGATGGCTATCATACTTTTGACAATTYATTTTCGGTAAAATCACAGACAGTGTGGAAATTCAGCAGGTTGATACTAAAAAATTAAAGAAAAARTGCTTCCGTCAACTTTCCATGAAGCCAAGATAAAAAAAATTCTTATAAAGTGTTTGCAGACCACAAACATGCTTCTTTCCAAAGTCACCAGCCTTCAATCTCAGGTGGAAATGATTTTACACATCTGAGTCTGCCTGCAGTCCTACACTTGTGATCATTTTCAYAATAATGATTGAGAGAGTTTCAAAAGCTTTGACCTTTACCTSTGTGCACCTTGAAGTCTTTATTGAGCACACCTGGTGTAGAACTAGAAATGCTTGTAACAGACACAAAATMCAGTCATGGASARCAGAGAYAGCCTACAGGTAAATGTGCTGATAGAGAAAATGACAGACTGATAATTARTTAACAAATTACAGTCCTTGCTCATATAAAGCCAAAACCCATTCTTTTAAGACACATTTAAACACATTATTTTCCCTCCTAAGTGCATGTCTATTTACAAAGTATTTACAATGTTATATGCTGTGGGACTAATTTACCACAGAAACATTTAATCTTGTACTAATCTGGGACAGATGATGATTTTAATACTAAGATAAAAGCAAATGCACATAACAGAGTGGCATTAAMATGGCCTGGAGCACACACAGCTATAGTATTGCATTGCAACACTGCTCTTGTCTACAGTGCAGGACATATTAGTTCAGATAAAAGGAGTGATATACATCAGTTGTCAAAAYACCCCTTAGTCTTAATCAGGTTTGGTTTGGTAAGATTTGATTAAGCAAATTAGCTTTCCCAGTTGTCATCTCTGTATATGCATTATGTTGTGGTTTAATCCCAGACAGCAACWGAGCCCCAGGCACCACTCGCTCATTTCCAGCCCCGGGTCAGATGGGGAAGAGGAATGGAAGAGTGAAAATGAGAAAGTCTGTGACTTGAGATAAAGACAGCTTAATRGGGAAAGCAAAAGCCACACACACAAGCAAAGCAAAACAAGGAATTAATTCACTGCTTCTCAGGGACAGGCAGGTGTTCAGCCATCTCCAGGAAAGCAGAGCTCCATCWCATGTAATGGTGACTTAGGAAGACAAATGTCATCACTCCAGATGTCCCCTCTCTTCCTCCTCCTTCCCACTGTTTTATACACTGAGCAGGACACCATGTGTAGGTATGGAATATCCCTTTCATATCTGGGGTCACATGTCCTGGCTGTGTCCCCWCCCCAACTCCTCGTGCACCCCACCCTCCTCACTGCTGGGGTACCGTGAGGAACAGAAAAGACCTTGACACTGTGCAAGCACTKCTTGGCAATAATGAAAATGTCTCTGTGTTAGCAACCCTGTTTCCAGCACAAATCCAAAACACAGCCCCATACTGGCACAGTGAACAAAATTAATTCAGTCTCAACTAAAACCAGGACACAACATCACCAGAAATGACCAGGTTTAAAAAAAAAAAAAAAGTGTATTATTAATGAGAAAGAACAAATAAATTCACACTCAGAGAATGTGTTAAGAAAAGGAAAACTCATCCCAAAGGCAGAGTTTTCCTGGTTCTGTGGGACCAGCAGGGAGCAGAGAGACCAGGAAATATCACCCCCATTACTCCCAGCACAGCCCCCAGCTGTGCTCTGTCCTGTCAGTGCAGGGGCTCAGCCTCACCATGGCCTGATCTGGGTGTTACTGGTTTAACCCCTGCACTGCTGGCTCCCCTGCTTCAGCCTCAGCTCTAGAGTGACCTCCCTGGGGAAGGGTGACATTCCCCCACACCTCTGAGCACCTCACAGTGGTGAGGACTCACTGCCACCATCTCCACTCCTCAGGAAGACTTAAACTCAGGGCTGAGACAAATACTGGAATGGAAAATACGGTAACATAGAAAAGAAGTCTACATTTCAGAATTTCTTATAAGAAAAAAATCAAGTTGCATTACTGATTATATTTTCCCTTATAAATTTGATAACTTGGACTATTAGAAGGTAAACCATAAGTTGGACAACCCATAAATTCTTCGGTTTTCAAGCAYGAAATGTTTCCTTCTGTTTACTGTAAGATTTTATTCAATTAAATATACTGGCAACTCCTGATTTTATCATAACTGACAGCCAGTCATATTTTGCTCTATTTTCTTCTTTTTCTTGCATTCCAGCTTCCAGGTCCCTATCAACAACCTCTGCAACAAAGACTGACCGAGAAAGGAACCATTCTCAAGGCTGCATAATACAACAGATATGCTTTTTTAGGTGGAATCAAGTGGACTGGATTTTAAGAGGAAATTCAGAGGAGCAGGAAATAAAGTCTAGCAAGGAAAATAGGCAGAAAGAGCAGTTCAAACACTTCATTTGTTCTCCAGGAGTTATTTTTTCATATCGTTCTGTTACAAATATTTTCCTAATGCAATAATATATTGCATAAACCTATCTCTACTAATCCCAAAATAGCCATTTTAATTTCTCTTTCCTTAAGTAAAATTTAAATTAGTGAAGTTGAATAGCAATAAATTTCTCCATGGTGTGCATCAACAGGCATTTTAATATTTGAAAGCAGTCTGCCTCCAGCTTTTCGGCCCCTACTGCACTTACAGCATTAACCAATGACCTATTAACACAGCTTGGATTGGTTTAATGTCCTATCAAAATATTTAATTCTGTTTAGATTCCAATTTAAAATATTTCATTGGCACTAAGTCTGCTTAAAAGAAGTAAAAATAGAAAACATAGTTTTTTAGCCCCTTTAGAGAGAAAATCAGTTTATATGTTCAGCACATATGTAATCATTCCAATTACAGTCATCCCTATTCTGTCTTTCTGAAGAATTTCCACATATTGAGGACAAAACAGGACTTTACAATATTATCAAAAGACATTTGCTAACAACAAATATGTTTGTAAGACTCTGAGAAGCTATAGACCATGCTGAAGTAGCAGAAGTTGCTTCCAAAAGAGAAAACACAGTAAATTTCTCACTCAGATCAGCAGAAGAGAAACCCCAGATCCACAGCAGATATCAAAATGTGTTAAATCACAGGAGACTTCCAGCTGACTTGTGTCCACTTGCAATTTTTGAAATACACTGTGCTAGGAATCAAGCTGCCTTGAGAGTAACACAGCAGATTATTTAGGCATAGCCTAAATTGTACACTTAGTAAATAGCAAATAAAGCCGGTCCTGGTGACTAATTATTGAGAAATTGAAGAGCAGGAGGTGGGCCCTTGCTGCAGAAGCTGAATTTCCAACAAAAATATTCTTCAGAGCAAACCAACTCCTTCATGCCCAAAGTACCAGAGACAATGCTTTTGAGTGAAGAACTGTCCTCATRAAGTCACAGTGGAAGGGCAGGTATGCAAACAGGAAGTTTATTCACACAAATGGCATCATTTTGATCAGTGATGCTCCTGTGCATTCTCATGCACAGCTTGCCAGAGATACTTCAATATTTGCATGAATGTTTGTTCCAGTGAAAATACAGCATTTCAGTCCTTTGGGCCTGCAATATACTCTGGACTTTGCCTCAGACCTGTTCAGAGGTACTAAGATACCAAGAGTACAGGAATGAAGTGGAAATAGGCTAACAATTAAATTCAGAGTGTCCAAAATGGCTTACAAGCTATCATAWTTTATACTGGTGATAGTTCAGATGTTCCTGAACAGTCTCTTAGGGTACAATTAGACTGAAGGGCAATTTTGGGGGGCTTGAATATAGACTAATATCAGTTTGTGTAGGCAGAGACTTCCTTGTCAATCCCATAGCAACAAAAATACATGTAAATTCAATYGTACAATTAATTGAAGTGGAAGGGAAATTGGAATTGTTGTGCTGAGAAAGAGATAATATCAACAAAACCAGAAATTTTTCATGAAAGAAAGTAAAAAATTAACATTTTCATTTGGATACTGCAATGACAACAGCATTTAAATATAGTTAGTTGGATGCCTATAGTAAAAGAAACAATAAAATGAGAAGCTGAGCACAAGAAAAGGGGGAAACTGGCTTAGGAACCACACACAACTCAGACAAGTCCTGTTTTTGGATAAATGGCCTGCAAAGTTATCAAGAAGCTGCCTACACAAAACACTCAGCTAGAGTCTTAGTTTCCTTTACACAAATAAATCATGTATCCTACATAGCTGGAATGTTCTGGAGTCTTTCTGCCTCTTCAGGTCTAATTACTGATGTAACAAGGCCACCATTGAGAGTGAGCCTTACTGAAGACTGGTAAATGCAGAGGCAATAAGAAAAACGGCACTAAAATCTCAGAGAATGTTGCATTCAGCTCCATCATGGCAGGCACCATTCAACACAGGATTTGTTTGCTCCCAAAGGTCAGYGAGCCAATCTTGATCACAGTCGTATTGTACTCTCCATCCAACCCCCTACTCCATCCCCTCTAAAAAGAAAAAAAATCTACCCACTACAGGCTAGGAAGTAACAATTACTGGTCAAATATAAGAAAAGTTCAAATTAAGTTTTCTACCTGCTTGCTGTACTACCCCTGACTTTAACCTGTTGATTCATTCAATTTTGGTAAAGGACATTCATAAATGTCAACATACTCTCTTCAGGCTGAACTGCTGRGTGCAGCAGGGTTAATTGACTCTTAAACAGTCCCATGCATAGAGAATCCAAGCAATGAGGCTCTTTTTGTAAAACAAGGGGAAGAACAGAACCAGAAGTCACCACAGACACTCACATGCTTTATTTTGAGGCACTACACTGAGCATTGTAAATATTGCTAATTGGCTGGGAGATTAAAAGTTAAAAAAAAAAAAATCAGCATTGTGAAGTCTCCTTTCTCATCTTAGTAGCAATAATAGTCTAAATGGATCAGGTCAGGAGCAGAAGAGCAGTTTCCCAAACAAATGCTAGGAAACTCCCTGTGCTGGTAATTTAGGCGAAAACTAAAAAGTGACAATTGTTTGATACACCCAGACCTAGGATCAAAGTGGTTAAGTTTGAAAACTGAAAGGAGTCCTAGGTTCTGCTGGACTACAGAAACTATCACGACTAAACTTCTTTTTTCACCTAAAGATACAGCTTGTATCAAAAGTGAAATATATATTGGAGGGGAGAAGTTGRTGAGGGGGGACAACAATATAATATCAAGGAATGCTCTTAATTTCACTCACCTGTGCAGATAAACCCTCTCAGAACTGGACCTTTTTCAGCCAGATAGCACAGTTGTAGGAACAATGCTGGCTGCCTTCACTAACTATTCCAGACCCCATATTAAATGATTTGCTGCAAGGTGGATGCTGGATTAGGATACCTCCATCCTAACCTCTGGATCAGGAAATTCTAGGCATCTTCCTTWCACATTTCACATTCCCTGAACTCAWTTCCTAYCCYACTRTCTTTCKGGCAGATCTGCAATAGTTTRTTSAAGCTGCCCCCTCTATTATTGCACAGAAAACACATTTCCAGACACGTCTGAATTCAGCATCCTCCAGCAAAATTTAAGGAATGGACTGTAAAGGGAAAACCTCTGACATGTTGATCTATATTATTAGGAAATCCCCAAGCTACATAGCATAAGAATGTCATGGTAAACATTACAGAAAAATTCACAACAGGCCCAAGGAAAGGACTGACTAGYCTGTCCTAGAGACTTGACAGTGTCAGATCCTTCTCTCTTCCCAATTAAGAAAGTTTCAGGTATGAGTGTTGCCAAAGAATACACCGAGGTCCTATTTCATACCCTCCTACGGATGATTGCAAGGATGAATCCGCCACCGGGATTCTGTCCATCAGCAGTGATGTAGACACATGATACAGAAAAATTCTTGTCAGACTATATAGATGACTTCTGTATAGGGCATGGTGTCAGGGCTGGGAGCCATGTGCTTCCCAGGCAGGTAAACTGTGCACCACAGAGTTCATGAGGTGACCCCAAAGTCAGGAGCTTTAGGATGCTTGGCAGGAAGCTCGCAGGCAGAGCCAGATGCTGACTGAGAAAGGATCTAACCTGTGTTCAGGTACATTCCTTTAAAAAATAACAAAATCCATATAATTCCTATTTTAGGAAGATAAGCCAAATATAAAGACTTGAAAGAGAGAATGCAAGTGATATTTTACCTTTTCACCTTTCTCTCCTTTCTGGCCTGGCAAACCAGCTACTCCAGGCAATCCTGCTTCTCCCTGATTTTAAAAGAAATAAAAAAGTCAACAAAGTAGATCTAAAATATATTTGGTTTGGTTTCCTGTCTTTGTCACAAATGCCTAACAAAGCAAATGACTCAATAAATATAGTGCAACACCCAGGAGAAGTWTTAAAAGAAAACAAACATTATGTAGAATATAATTTATTCTCAAGTAAAAACATTTACACTAAATATAATGCCTAAATATAATTCTCATTTTTACCACAGTACTTTTTGGGGTGTGTATGCAAACAATTAAACCTTACTGACCTCTCTGATTTTTCAGTAACTAAATCCAAAACGTACTGTTTCTTAAATGGGAAATACAATGTAAGTACATTACGACACTACAAACCTGCAATGTAATTTCATGAATGCAGAAAAAAAAAAAACAAACAACTGTTTTTATACCTAGAAGGATCAAACAGTATGATGCAGTAAAARGCAATAGGAAAACTTTATACTTTATTTGGAAAGCAGTAGCATCTCTGTGCAGATTCTTGCTGCATTCCTGGAAGCGTGTATATTTTGCTGGCATGAACAGTCACTGGTGATGAAGTCGTAGCCAGTAACTTCTCCGCTCGTGGGCACTAGAATAAAAAGATTTTCTGATTTTTGGTCCATTTTGGTTAAGAGGTAAATACCATCCAAACACTAATTTTAAGTTACCTTCTCTTTTTTTATACTCCTGTTCAAACCATATATGGAAAATGATGACAATTACCARACAGAGAAAAAAGTAATAAAAAAATGAATTCTAGACACTGTAATCCTTCTGTTCTAAAATCGATGTCAGTTAAAACTGATATGGCTGCCCCACTTCTTTCTTCCAAAAGAGCCCAGACAGAGGAATAAAGTCTCTCAAAATTAGAAGTAGTGAAAGAGAAAATGCCCATGGGGAAAAAAAAAACCAAAAAACACTGTACCTCCTAATCTCATCTTGTCCTCTCCCCCACCCCAAAAGGCTAAATATAAGAGTGAGTGCTAAGGAAAATTTCCTTGTGTTTAGATGTTTGGGTTTTTTTGGAGAGTTTGTTTGTTTGTCTTGTTTTTGGGTTCGGTTTTTTTGTGTGTGTGTGGGGGGGGGTTTGTTTGTGGGTTTTTTTGTTTGGTTCTGGGGTTTATTTTTGTTTTGTTTTGGTTTGTTTGGTTTGTTTGTTTTTGTCATTAAACACTTCTGGCCTACATACTTTGGAAACAAACAAAAAAGCCCTGAAGCCAAGAKTCACCTGTCTGTGACTCCTGAGAACTGTGCCAGCCTGAAGAAACACTACAGGACAAGYCAACAGAACCTGATGAATTTCAGCAGCTCTCATTAAGATGTAATGAGGTTTCCTCTGAGCCTTCTGTCAGAGAAATTCCCACAGGATTTACTGCTCAGGGTAGAAAGTTGTATCCAAGTGTAAATTCTTTCCCTTAAACTAGTCAAAATGTAGCCATTATAATGGGTAGRGAAGTAATGAAAAAATAAATCTGAAAATGTCATGCTAGTTTCAATATGGAAGTCATTAACAAGTAGTCCACCATTTCTTACATCCTAAACATAAGACAATACAAATGAAACTGAAGATGCTTTTAGCTATGTAGCTGAATTAATGTTTAAGTGTTATTAATAAAAGACTATTGTTGAGTTTTTTGTGTTCATATACAATTAGGGTTTATTTTGTCCTTGCTTTTTTTTTTACTACTGTGTCAATAACTGCTCAATAAATTGTATTTCCTAGCACCAAGTGGAACCCACAGAAATTTCATTCAGTCTACTTTTCCATAAGCTTATACATTCAAGAGGAAGCCTGCATTATTATCAAGAATATATTCAGAAATATATTTGAACTATAAATCATTATTTAAAACTGAAATTTCCCCCTGAAATTAGATYATGTTTCTTTGATGCTCCTGAGCACCAAGTTGTCAGTTCCCAGAGTCTTCTGCTCCTCTCTTCTCGGGCAAATTTCTCCCTGCAATCCAGGGACACTTTMCCCTGTCTCTTTGCGGATGGAATCAATCAGTCTTTCCACACACTCTGGGATTTTTGGTGACTACAAGCTTTGTGGGGATGGCACTGTCCACTGCCTCAGAGGAGCCTGGCCTTACAGATTACTTGTACCTAGCAGACCAATAATTTAACACAGTCTTTCTTTGTGGTATCTTTTTCATTTTAATGGGCTAGATTCAGCAAAACAATTACATCTACACCTTCAAACATTTCTATGATTCTACTGTCTTCCAGTTTTCCTCATGTTAAACAACATACACATGTCAGCATGTGGGTTATAAAGAAGAAACTAATTCAGAGAATCACCAAGGCTGGAAGAGACTTTTAGGATCAAGTCCAACAGTCAACATAGCACTATAACTTGTGAATTATGAAAGCCCATTTCTCCATCTTACTGTATTAAAATAAAGAAAACATGCTCAACACCATCGTATTTTCCTTCTCTTCCACTGTCATGAAGAYTCTTTCATGGGCTTTGTTTACACCATCTGTAAAGCTTCACAAGATGCAACTGTCACTGAAATGACCTCTGTTCTTTGAAGCCATCCTCAAGTCATTGTAGTGATCTGTTTCCTATGCTCTGAAGCTTCTTCAGTTACTAATTAGACATTAATCAATGTTAAGAAATGCATTTAAAAAGCACTAGCAGCACCTAGTGCCTTTTGCTGATGTTTCACTGTGCCAATTATTTAGGGAGCAAGAAACTATGTACCATGACTCCAGATACCGAATTCATTTTTAGAAGATAATTAAACTAACACCTCTATTGAAATTTCTTTACAACTCTTTAGTAAGAAACAATAARGCAATTTCTTTTGTATTAACATTTGAATTTTAAAAGGCAGCTTACCAAGTCTGCAGATATTTCACAACACGTATCTTCCGCTGCAAGTTGTGAATTACAATAAACTGCTAAGTGATGAAGTTCAATCTATTAAGAAATACAAAAGAAATGAATATAAGGTGTAAAAAATGATGCATTATGGCATGCTTTTTCTTATCTTGGCACAGTAAACTTTCTCTTTGAAAGACTGCATATTCCCGAAATGCTAGAAGAATATAAATCCAAAACAATTTCACAGCTCCTCATTTAAGGAAAAAATTATGCCATCTAATACTTTGATGTAAACCACATTTTGGGTTTCATTTATTTTCATGTAAGCTGCATCTGTCTGTATTGGTCTTGCTATATCACCCAGGCATTTTAACTTGGTAGACATCATCTGCAAACCTTCTTTTCAAGAATGTAATTTTCCTCTGCAGGGAACTAGAGAAWAGGTTTTATAAGCTCTCTATCACAKGCTTCYATYGCTTTGGAYACACCTTTGTCTGGACATTACCACTAAACCACCTAAAGAGCAAAAATCTCWAATTCTGTACACAGAGCCTCTRTTTCAGAGACTTTGGGTGGATTGGTGAAATGAGAAGTAAGCAATTTTAACTAGTTAATCTTGTCCTCATATGCCTCTTTCTGCATCAGTTTTATATTCTCCTAATCTCCCTCTTGCACTTGGTGTTGAGAAGAGTGACTGTTGGTACAGGAACTGTTCTGTTACCTTCATCAACTTTAAGCCCATAATGTTTTCCTGCAAATGTGGAAATAACAGTTGACAACTTCCACTCAGAATTATCCAGCTTATGCCATGCAACCAACACAAAAGTTTTTTCTCCTGCATGCTATTTAGAAATGAGGAGACTGTATGCACATTTCAAATAACATGGAACTCAAATCTTAGAAAATATAATGAAGCATGAGCTTGGCTCCATTAAAGAAGAGCTCTGAGTCCAGGCCAAAGTGCTTAGTGCCCCACAAGAATGATTCCTCCTGCAGTGTTAGCTTTGCAGTTACAGTGTGCTATTTTCATCCGGGACCCAACAGCGTTCACAATACCATCGCATTTTTTCGATGGTCCCTGTRAACTCTAAGGCAGACCCTAAACCTGGTAGCTGCACGTCAGTGTATTTAAAACAAACTGACCTTTCCTGAAGATTTCAAGTCACTTTCTGTGAGCTCTCTGCATGAGGAAATAGAAGAGAGCATTCCTGGGACAGAACACAACCCAGAACATTGTGGGGTTTCCTTGTGTAGTTTTTGCACCAAAGGCTGAAGGAAACATATCAACCACCAACTAATCCCTCCCTCCTGGATAAGGAAGAGACAACTCTGAACAATGTAGCCCTATTTCTACATAGATGAATTACTCTAGAAAACCTCCATACAGARGTAATCCTTAATTATTTTGTGTCTCCCCTTCATCTAAGTGTAACAGATGACTGATACAAACTTATAAATGAATCTCATCAAAAATGCAAGRAAAAAAAATAGCACTGCACGTTATCTTTAAACATAGAAATAATATGTCTATGGTAATTAGGTGTCTCTTTCTTCAAATTAAATACAGAAAAACAGACTTCTAAAACCAGGACTGAATTTCATGCAGTTACTTTRGTAACAGCTTTGTCTTAGCAGATGCTACAGCACTGAATAATGTTTAGAGAAAAACACTTAAGGACTTCAAATTAAGAATACACACTCAAAAATAATGACTGGGTTTAAACATTTTATCAGCATGATTCTTTACAACTGTGTTAGTAAAAGCATGGCTAAAGCATTACTTCAAGTTATCTGTTTTTCTTTCCATACTACTCACATCTACAGGCTTATCATCCGCAGCACGAGAAGCAATCAGTGTCCTTCCCTGCAAGTCAATGGTGAATTTTTCATCAGTCTGCTTTCTCTCAATTAAATTACAATCCAAATAGAGGGAAATGACCCCTGACTGCACGCTAATACCAAGCTTATGCCACTGCCGATCAAACAATGGATAAATTTCTCGACTCTTAAAAGTGTAGTGCAGTATATTTCCCTGAGCAGATTTGGTCATATACTCCACCACCTTTTTTGTACCATCCAGAAGGACAGAGATCTGAAAGCAAGATAAAATAAAAGAARTGGTCATTTAAAAGTTAGAAGAAATAAGCACATGCATAAACTCTATATAATAAAAATATTTCATCTRCATACATTGGGCAAGGATTATGTTGTGAAGCATTCTTGCAGGTAACTTGGTAAATATATATCAGCTATAAATCATARCATGCATTTCATTCTATTTTCAGTCTAAGCTATATTTGCTAAGCTTAGAATAGATTTTGCTAAATTTCTACARCAAATTATCAATTATTTCAGAGGAGTCTGTCTATCACATATAAACTTCTGCTAAATCCAGTAATGAAACACCCATTAGTATATGTACCATATTGCATGGGGGAGAAAAGAATAAGAAACTTATTGAAGAAATAAATCAAAGATGACTCTAACCTCAGGTGTGTCATACTGATTTAAAACTTGCCATATATACCAACGCTCTTTCTTGGTATTTCGCCGTATACGGAACGTAGCAATTAGAGAATATTCYTCAGGAAACCCATTTGGAAATACTTGCCTGGAACAGGAGGGAGGAAAAAGATTTATTATTATTCTCATACCAACAACCGCTGCTTAAAAGGAACGAACAGAAATAATACCTGGTGAAAACARGAAGTCAAACACTTGTTCTCACTCATACAAATTCAGAGGCTTCAGCATTCAGAAGTGTTTCTTCTCAAAAGCATAATTCAGTCTCTTTGTAAGAATGAATGACTGAKAATTCTGTTAATTAATTTTTGCTATTTTTCAGCATCTGTGATTATCACAAATAGGAGTCTAAAAAGAAATTATGCAAAGTGAATGCCTGACATGAAAGTATTTTAAAATATGGCATTTCCCAATTTACTGCCTGGGATACTTGAGTAAGTTTTTTAGAGGATTTATGCAATAATCCCCATCCTTGGAGACTTTCAAAACACAGCTGGACAGGGCTCAAAATAACCTCATCTGACTTTCAAGTTGGTCCTGCTTTGAGCAGGGATTTGATCCTGTGACCTCCCTGGGCAATGACTCGGACATCTTGAGCATCAGGACAGCTGGACTTTAGCAAGCTTGAAGAAAAATAAGTAACGCATTTTAGAACATATTATTTGCTGTCATTTGGTTTTGTTATTCCTATCTTACCTAAGATACATCATTGTCTCTAAAAAAAAAKGTCTGGCATATATCACGGAATGCACTGCAACATCACTTCTATGAACTATTTGAAAAGTTTGTATTTCACAAAAACCAAAACTGTACTTCAACTCTACAGACTTTGGTAACCATTAAATATACACTAATTCTGAACTAAATAAATTAGTATGGTACAATCAACTTTTTTTCATTTGAAGGTTCTGCCTTTCAAATTATTTCTTGTCTAAGACAGAGGTAAGAAAATTAAAGCCACAGATCTCTACACAACACAGGAGTAGCTAAAGTGTTCACATTGCTGTTTGCAAACAGTTATCCATGATGCAAAAAACATTTCCTGGATCAGAGCTCAGGAAACCTAAGGACCCCATGCAGCAGAAAAATTTATTCCAATTCTATTTTCCACAATCATATGAAGTAAATGGCTTAGTTCTAAAAAAATACAAATGGGATTATAATTAAACAGCAATGTGCTATAAAGCTTCTATTAAGAACAAAACAAAAGCAAGGGAACAACAAAGGTAGAGGGAAAGAAAAAGCAAAGCACTACAGCTGATGAAACAATAACCCCACAACCCTCCTGGAAATTATTGCACTTAAGATCTCAGGGAAAATGCCTCCTGTGCAGAGAAGCCTGCTCTAAATCCTGCCAAACAGCTTCTTTAAGGACTAGCACCTATTTAAGTTCCTTATGTGGGAATCACACTTCTTTGGCTTATTTCCCACAGCTGATTCCTGTTTTATCCCAGGACCAAATTGGCTGCTGTCCCACATTGTTAGTGGACCCACATGCTGTTGTACAGCTATAGACATTGGAATGTCAAAAGGCTAGGCAAAAGAGAATAGACTTGGCTGTACTTAGATTTAGATTTTGTACTATGTACTTCAAATATAGAATGAAGAATATGTTTCATGATTTAAAAAAAAAAAAAATACCTTCACTGGGAATGAGTGTGTCACTGCAGAACAATAAACTATCTAGACATGGGATCAGCCCTGTGGTTTACCACACCCCAGGCAGGCTAAGGAGATGGTATCTCAGGTTTACAGCTGCAAGCTAGACAGGATATCTGGCTGTGGGAGCATCTGATTAGCTCTCCAAAATCAATTAGCTTTCCCAGCTATGTTCCATATAGGAGACACAGGGGAATTCACATTAATGGGCAAAGGACAGACTGTGGAAGAGAAATGATCAGAAATCTTCATCAAATGATAGGAGGGGAAACCATGATTGCGACCCTAAGTCTGGAAAACAAAGAGAAGCAGTCTTTGGGCATGGTAGAACTATTTTCTATGCGCATGCACACCTTCTCCTCTATCACTTCTTATTGTAAGCCTTCCTAACACTCTTAGAGACATCTGGATGTATGATAAWACCAAGTCTTCTAAAACCATGTTTCAGAATTTTCTCAAATAAGTTTGGTTGTGTGAGTATACATGATATAAAATGACCTTCCTTAAATGTTTATCAAACCATTCAGRACACAAAACAAGAGCTAAGGTGTGGGCCAGCATTAAGAAAACCAGCAGGAGTTCAGTCTAACTTCTCTTAACCTTTGAGCTGACAAAGAAAACTCTTTTGGGAGAAATGAGAAAAGCAGAGAAGATCAAATAAATTCCTAAGGGCACTACACTGATTTCAGTGAAGTCAACTAAAGAGACAAGGGACAACCTGAAATTGTATCAGGTTACTCTAAGTCCTCTCCTGCTGAGTTTTGGAAGTATCTAGAATGGAAATTATTCCACAACTCTTTGGGAAACCTGTTCCAGTGCCTGGCCAACAAACAGCCCAAATTCAATCTACAAGTACTGTATACCAGAGATATAACTTAACAGAAGCTTTATCCTTATTTTGAAAAGGATCATTGGTACCTATATGAAGATTCCTTGGTAGCCAAAAAGTCATTAAAGGATGATTTAAAGTATGCACTTAAAACTCAACCCTTCCAGCCAGATGGTGAACATGAAAAGGAACAAAATGATGGGACAAAATATGCAGAAAACTAGCAGGCTGTATGCTACCATACACAATTTCCCCTACGCTCATGCTCCCTGAATGGCCTCAAGTGACTGTGATAGAATAAAAAAGTACACATAGAGCACCAAAGTGGCTTGGGTACAGATGATCAGTAACACACTTGAGKGATATTTATTACTACGGTCTCTTCTGCTCTGTAAAATCAGTTAAAAATCCTCAAAAACAGGCAAAGTATGTGTATGTTTGAAACAAGAAATACATAATGACATTTGATGGGAAAAACACAGGACGTAACAGAAACGTGAATATAAAAGCTCATGTTGGAACATGAGAAAAGCCAAACCAAAATTTTATAGAATATTGAATTTAAAGTTCAGAATTTCTTTGAATGTTTAATATAGTGCTTCACCTGATCACATTTACAAACATTTAAAATCTGATAAAACTTATGGAATATTACATTCAGGGTGAAAACAATAAAGGAGCAGCATTAAAGGTTAATAAAAACGGCAAAAACAAGTTGTTCTTCATGTCGACGGCTAAAAAACTCTGTCGCAGTGTATTTACTCTTTCCACGTGGCACAGGATAAAAGCAGTAAGAAAAGGAGAGAGAAAGGGTGAAGGAAACCGACACCATGCTCACCTCTAAGTCTGCAGATGTACAGACAGAACAAACAGAGAACGTGAATTTGGGATAGTGGATTATGGTGTCTGCAGCAAAAGCAGTAAGAGAGATAATGGGTTTTAAGCAAGCTATGCTGTTACAAAAACATGGATAGTAACTGGTTAGTGTGAGAATTCATCTATTAAGACAAGACAAAAGAACTTACAAATTAACATAGAAAAGCAGATGAGGGTATTCTTGGTATCTGATCTCTCAATCAGATGTCTTTTTGGACAACAGTGTCTGAACCAAATTATATATCCTGGGAGCAAAAAATCTGAGATCTCCATGAAAAGGAAATATTCTTTTCAGTGGAACAACAGTTAAATTCCCCCATTCTTGTTAAAGTTCCTTACCAAAGCAGCCATCCTTGCCCAATGACTGCTCGAACCTTTAACGCTATTAAAAAGGTGTTTTCTTCCTCTTCTACACTCAGAACACTTATGAGTGCTGTGGTTTACGCTAAATTTAATGCTTTCCAAGCTTTCTATGTGTGATTTAAGMACAGTCAATGGCACCTCTGGGGACACAGGCAATGTTCTGGCATCTCTACCCACATCTTTGAGTCACAATGAAAYTTGGGTGGGAGTAACATGCCTGTCTGCTTAAGCCATGGTGCTTCTAAACTTGCCTGAATTTATGCCCAGATGTGGGGGGAAATCAGCTGTCCAAAATTATTCATTTTTGGTGCCACTAGGGGTTGGGTGGTGCTTGAGAGTGGGCAATTTGAATTATTCTCAGACTCAGGCGCCCAGAGTCTGACTAAATTGTACGCTAGGTGGAATTCTGACAGTTTGACTCTCTCCCTCTGTCCATATTGTCAGTAGTGCATAATAAAAAATTAAAGTTGATGAATGGAGCACTATGTTCTCAAAGCRAAGCACACCCTTGGTGGAAACTACTGGAAACAATAGCAGGAATTGAACATGAACTGAACACAGAGGTTTGAATTTTACACCACCCTGGCCTGCTGGACTGAGATGTACTGCAAATCACAGAGGCCCCAGCTGGCAAATTGAGGAGACCATCAATAACCAGCAGGAAGATTCCCAGCAATACAAGGTTTTAGATTGTACAGAGATATGTTACAAATCCATACATTCAGGTACTCTTAATGATTCACTCGTCGAAACATGAGGCAGATGCAGCCAAAAAGGTAATAAATACACACCAGTGTTGTTGCAAAAACTGTATGCCACTCTGTCAAAACATTTGTATACACAATGTTCCAAAGGTTTTACTGTATTTTCCTCATTTTTTATTGGATTAAGTGTAGCCATAATCTTTCCTAAAAATAGGTGTATATTATGACTATACATTATGAAGTTACCAGAAGAGCAGTGACAGGAGGGTTTTATGAACACTACCACTGTATTTGTGCATACCTTCCACTGTTTATATAGATTAAGTAGAAAATGTTTTTGCAAAATATTTTCTTCATTTGTTTCCTCAAAAGTTCTGAAATGCAGATACCAGCTGGAGCTGCTAGTGCTACCATACTAAAAGAAGTAATTATGAATGAATTAACTGTGTAATCACTGTGCTATAAACAGTTTTAGTTCTATCTTTGTAAAGCAGCATTGAGTTACCCATATCAAATTTAGTAAGGCAATCCTTTATTTACCTTTTGTTTTTATTTTTAAAAAAAGCACTAATGGAAAAGCAGCATCTATTTTTAAATCTTATGAACCCTAATTGTTCCATACCGAATGAGAATACACTACAGTGYATGATAAACTTC